ATGATGTGTCATAAACTATTATTATAAGATAATGATGTGTCATGAGGTGGCACATATGTAAGTTAGAAAAAAGACACATGTTTGAGATGTGTCAAATGAAGATTGATCCTCCTCTCTTACAAATACACCTCATAGGCCCATCATTAGCCCATCACAATTGCCCTTTCTCTCTCCTCCCATATGTAAGTCATTATTCTCTCTTAATGATTTTTTTTCTCTCTCCTCATGCTCTTTTTCTCATAATAAATAGTTTTTCTCCCTCTCATAATGATTCTCTCATAACCAATGATTTTTCTCTCTGATAATATTCTCATAAAAATAATATTATTCTCTAATGTTTTCATAAAAATAATATTATTCTCATAATGATTCTCTTATAACAAATGATTTTTCTCTCTCTTATAATACTCTCATAAAAATAATTATAAGATATTTTTCTCTCTCATAATAGGTTCTTCTCTCTCATAAGGTTCTCATAAAATAATTATATATTATTTCTCTCTCGTAAGAATATAATCTTTTCTCTCCCCTGTAATATGAACATTTTTTTTATGCTCCCTCTCCCCATACGTAAACTCATTTGGTTGCTCTCTTCCCATACCTTTAGCTAAACATCAATAATCTCAATCTTACTCTGGCAGCGATAGCAACACATCCATCTCAGATTGACGTATAAGTAAGTGACCTCATTTTCATGTAAAATAGTTATTTTGAAAACTGGAATTTCCACTTTTAATAAAGTTGTATTTTTTCCGTCTATCATTATGAATTTTAGATACTGTACGTTTTATGTGTAAGTGACATTATTTTTCTATAAAATAGTTATTTGAAAATTGGTAGTTTTGCTTTTAATAAAATTGTGATATTTCTGTCTATTATTATGAATTTTAGATACTGTAAGTTTTATGTGTAAGTGACCTTATTTTCCTGTAAAATAGTTATTTGAAGACTGGTATTTCTGTATTTAATTGTAATATTTTTGTCTATCATTATGAATTTTAGACACTGTAAGTTTTATGTGTAAGTGACTTCATTTTCCTATAAAATAGTTATTTGAAAACTGGTATTGCTTCATTTAATTGTAATATTTTCGTCTATCATTATGAATTTTAGATATTGTAAGTTTTTTGTGTAAGTGACCTCATTTTCCTATAAAATAGTTATTTGAAAACTGGTATGTCTACTTTTAATAAAATTGTGATATTTCCGTCTATTGTTATGAATTTTAGATACCACAAGTTTTATGTGTAGGTGGCCTCATTTTTCTTGTAAAATAGTTAATTTGAAAATTTGTATATCTGCAATTAATTAAATCATAAAATTTTCGTCCATTATTATGAATTTTAGATATTATAAGTTTTATGTGTAAGTGACCTTATTTTCATATAAAATAGTTGTTTGAAAACTGGTATTTTTGGATTTAATTATAATATTTCCATCTATCATTATGAATTTTAGATAATGTAAGTTTTATGTGTAAGTGACTTTATTTTCTTGTAACATTATTATTTGAAAACTGGTATTTCTGCATTTAATAAAATTGTAATATTTCCGTCTATCATTAAGGATTTCAGATAATTTGATGATTTAGTATTTAACTCTTGATTTCAAAAGAATTCTTCTATTGTCAATAGACCACTTACCATGTTAGATTTCAATTTTTAAGAATGTCTCTCATAATGGTTACGTTTATGAAACTATTGAGCCCAAAGTATTTGACTGCTTATTTATCAAAATATCAGTGAAAGTGTTCTATAAATGAATTCATGCTTTTGATTTCAATGATATTTTGAATATACGGTATTGTTGCTTCCTGATATTTAAAGAGTTTCAGAGATACTTTAAGTATAAAAGAAGACCTATCCGGTACGTCGGTAGAGATTAAGTGGACTCATCCGGTACACTGGTGAGGTATAAGTGGATCTATCTGGTTCGCCGGTAGGTTAAAGGATTTATATATGCACTTCCTTATATTGTTTCAATATAATCTTTTTGGATTATGTAAAATTGTATAGTTCTATTTGGACAGTTCTCTTCCTCATATTGTTTCAATAAACACTCTTTTAGAAAATAACTACTTTTTCCAACCATGATTTTTTTAGGATTAGGATGGTTACTTACAGAGTAGCCAAACTCATCAAATTATTGTGAATTCTTTTAAGAATAAATTGCAGCCTTATTGTTCGAAAGTACAACAAAAGTAGCTATGGAGAAGTTTTTAGTCGCAGTTAAATTTACCTTTGTTACTTTTGTCTTATCAAAGATGTATATATGTGGACCTTCATGTTAATATAAGATGTAAATATACTTTGTACAAATTTGAAAATTTCTTAATGAAAAATCAGACAGTTCTGTGCAATATATAGAAGAAATTTTGATTTTGTTAAGGATAGACACTTCAAGAATGTTAGTATTACAGAACCTGGGGTGTGACTGCTTTAGCTTGAAGTCTAGAGTCTATGTCACGTGGGGTAAGAGACCGAGTTTCCTCCACAGCGTCTGGATCTGAAATTGTGGATGTGTGGGCTCTAATAGAATCCCCAAAATTTGAGGGCAAGTTTCGGCTCCGTTGTTTCAGAGAGGCTTTGAGAATTTGTAGTTTTCAGATTAGCCTGAAGTCGGCCCACCTTGAAATAGAAGCAGAGGACCAAATGGAAGAGAACATATGAGCGAATGATAGTTCTTTCAACCCGAAAAGCTCGAACCTAAAAGGTCTGATTGAAGAAGGGGTTGGGTTAGTGTCTAAAGGGATTGACTATGGTCACAGGTGACTTTCGGGAAGGCCCTAGAGCAGGACCCTGGAAAAGAGGAATTTCAGTTGATGAGGAAACCGTCTATCTTGGTCATTGTAGGCATTTGGCCATGATTGGACCAAGTGACGGATGCCCCTGAGAGAGGGATGTTTATGAGGACGATACTTTCTATGAAGTCTGAGAAAGCTCTCAAGGAAGCAGTTAGATGGCCACCATTTGATTTCTCATAAGGCCATCTGACCGTATTCCATGGGATATGGGGAGGAGCGACTCAATGAGAGAGATCCAGTCAAAGGTTATCTCTAAGAGACTGGCTATTAGGGCCATAGACAAATGTGATCCTAAAGATAAAATCATCAGAAATTCGATGGCAAGAAGTGGTTATAGAGTAATCTAAGACCTGGGACGAAAACCATTGAAAACACTTGGGTTCCGAATGATCAAAGTGCCCCCAGAGGCACCCTGGGAGTCTTTGGCGACCCATGCACAGGGGTTTCATCCCCAATTTTCTTAAACAAGGCAAGGTCAAGGGATGGGAGTTTGGTTTCAAAAAGTGCAAGTATATCAAGAAACTGAGAGGAAACTAGGGAGCGAACAATGCTGCATTTAATGTTGCGGCCAAATCCTCTGATGCTCCAACAGAGGACCCTCATCTGGGTGAGTTTGGGTGACGTGAGGATTTCCTGGTGGATCTCCTCTGCCTAAGGCTAATGGGTAGGATGGAAGTGACGGAGATTAACTGGGTTGAATTCCTAGGGGTGTCATAATTCACCCCTAGAGTGAAGTTTAGTCAATTCCCTAGTTCCCTTATTAGGCTTTAGGAGGTTACCTGAGGTGCGCCAGCAACAGCCCTAAGGTGTGACAAGATGTCAAATTATGGATGACTTAACTAAGCACCTGCAGGATCAGGTACCGTGGTGCATGTTGTTCGCAGATGATATAGTATTGATTGATGAGACCCGAAACGACATCAACACAAAGTTAGAACTTTGGAGGGATGCCCTAGAATATTAAAGTTTTAAAATTAGCAGGACTAAGACAGAGTATATAGAATGCAAGTTTAGTAATAACAGGAGTAGAGATGAGGAGTAGCTAAGATTGACGGCCATGAAGTACAAAAAAGACTGCACTTTCGATATCTTGGGTTGATAATCCAAGAAAATGGAGAGATTGAGGAAGATGTCGCACACAGAATTAGAGTTGGGTTGGCGAAGTGGAGATGTGCAACTGGAATTTTATGTGATCGTCGCATACCGATGAAGCTGATGGGCAAGTTCTATAGAACATCGGTGAGACCAACTTTGCTCTATGAGGTAGAATGTTGGGCGGACAAAAACCAATATACCCATAGAATTCGAAATGAATCCATTCCGGAGAATTTAGGTGTCGCAACATTAGGCGCAAGATGAGAGAGAGTAGCCTTAGGTGGGCTGGCCATGTGTGGCGCCGACCCGAGTACAACACCTGTTAGGAGATGTGAGTTAGTTCAAGTGGAAGGATTGAAAAGAGGCAAAGGGTAGGCTCATAAGGATGTGGTTGGAAGTAGTCCGAAAAGATATGGGCACTTATGGCTTCACTGAGGGTATGAACTTTAATAGAGTAGAATGGTGGACCAGGATTCGTATAGCCGACCACAATTAATTGGGAAAAGGTTATAATGATGATGCTGATGACATTTTATTGCCCTGGAGTAATAACAGTAGGCATGCCTCTATAAAAATCATTTTCAATATAGGTAGGTTATTTGATATCAAACAAATATTGAGTAGGTTATGGGAGTTCGCAATTACAGAGTATTGTATGCCAACATGATCCTCTGCATGGGGTGTGGTTGTCTTTGCATATGTAACATGATAATCAATTCAGCATAATGCTGATACAAGTTTATGACTCTTGTGCTGATTCTTAAATGTTTATATAGTTGAAATATTGTTAATTCCCTGCAATGAAATTCCAAAAGGTATGAAGTGTATAGGCTTGTTATTGATTGGATTACATTGTTCTGCCATTTCTAGTGAATATGATCTATCTTGACTGCCTGCTCTTTTGCTACCAATTATTCAATGAAACAAGTTTTTGATTGGTTGTTAATTGGTTCTGTTTCTGAAATGTATAGGCTTGTTATTGATTGGATTACATTGTTCTGCCATTTCTAGTGAATATGATCTATCTTGACTGCCTGCTCTTTTGCTACCACTTATTCAATGAAACAACTATTTGATTGGTTGTTAATTGGTTCTGTTTCAGATTGTATTTCTTCGTAAAGTCATCCCTAGGCAAATAAAAGCGGAGAAGGCAGTTGCATTAATCAGAAGAACTGTTGAAGGGCTCATAGCAAAGTGCAGAGAGATTGTGGAAGCTGAAAATGAGTTGATTGATACTGAGGAATATGTTAATGAAACAGACCCTAGTATTCTGAGGTTCTTATTAGCAAGTCGAGAAGAGGTTTTTCAGGGAACCTTAGCACTTAAATCTGACTTTTGGCCCAAGTCAATGAGAAAGAGCTGCCATTCTTAATAGTAAAATGATTAATGATTATGTTTATTTCATATAAAAATATTCAGATACATTTTAGTGGTATTGCATGGTTAAAAAGTTTGTCTTGCTTAGGAGTAAGGATGTTACCTTTACCATAATATGTATTATGCATTTTAGTTGTATTATATTACCTTTAAACTTAATATTATAATCAAGAAACAGTTTGAAATCACACAAACACACACAAATTTATGTATGCATGTTGCATTTCGACTGCTTGGCTTACTGGTTTGGGAACAAGTTAGAACTGCTAGCCCAAGGATTGTATCCCAGTTCGTAGTTACCAGGATTTAATCTGGGGTGATTCGTATCTCCTTGAGTGGCAATGTACGAGTGGCAATGTACTCCCATTCTCTTAAGAGTGCATTTCCAGTCTTCTTGGCAACTTTTGTCTTAGTGATGTTGAGGAAGAAATGTCGTTCACCTTTGCCAGGTCATTATGTGACGTACATATGCATTCCACAATGAATCTTAGGTTTCAAAGAACCAGGGACATTCTCATTCCAGGACAAATTGGATGGGAACTCGAGCATCAAAATTATTGCTCACATGTTAGATGGACATATTCCTTTGTCGACACCAATTAATACATTCTATTAAAGCAAGTACAAGTTTGGAGATGTCATGGGCATATTTGAATACCCTGTGGATACATCACTGAATAATTATGATCTCAACTCTCAGAAAAAAGAGTTGTACGAGAGTTGAGATCATACTTATTCAGGGATGTAGGATGACTATTGGATGAAAGAGATAAAGAAAAGTAGTACAAGAGGAAGAAAGTGGCCCGTAAAAGAGTCACAAATATTCTGCCTATCCTATTAAAGGGAGTGAATAAAAAATGTTATGAGTTGATTTGGTCCTTTTGTAAGTCACTCAAGTTGTAGGGTCATTTTAGTAATTTTTCCTTTTATTTATGTTTTTAAGCCTTCAAAAGTAAATTATGAAGTTCATGCAGCAACCCTATTGGAGAGTCTTTTGAATTGATTAGGTTTTCATCTGATCCAGATTTGATGACTAGACATTAATCATTTTAATCTCATGAATGCTTCAGGAGTCTTGAATTTCATGTTGTCTGGCAAGGATTAGTCTCTTTCCTCTTAAGCAAGTTTCAAATTCAGTGTGTCGTAAGAGCTAATTGAGAGAGCTGAGCTTCAATGAGGTCAAGTGATCCTTGAGTTGGGGTACCTTGTGGCTGTTGTCATGGTAACGATCAAAACACTGAATACATGCTGTTAGTCTGCAGCTAGAATCTCACAAAATTTCACATCATAGATGCACCTCTCAAGTATACATCCTTTGTTAATGCGCAATTTGGTTCAGGATTTAGAGAATTGGCGTTAGCGAGATGAGATCACGGTCGAAGGAGCTCTGAAGTCGAACCAATGATTTGTTAAATCACTTGATCTAAATAGCTATTTGTTGAGTATTATGATGCAGTTGTTACCATTTATGGCCATGAAGCCTGAAGAATCTGGAGTTAAATGTGAATGCGAGTGTAAATCAATGACAAGTTGCAATTGATGTTTATGAACTTCTGCATTTTGTCTGATAGAGTACATGTTATTGTCAAGGACATTGGGTTCTTGAAAATTCTTACAGAAGAGCTAGTCACTATTATTAGGTTGGGAATAGCTAAGTATTGTTGGTTTTGAGGTAATTTGATAGTTGTAGTTGTAAGTGGGGCACATGAATCTTTGGGAGAACCTATGGATGATACTTTTTAGTCTCCTTGGGTAATTAATATGGTGGAATGCCAAAGGTGACAGGTAGGACAATTTTTTCTAGAGTACTTTATGGTTAAATGATTCATGATTTACGGAATGAATGTTGGTTGGGCTATTTGTGATAGAGGGTAGGGTGATTTATTAGAGCAACTATGGGAAGGGTGGTAGGGAACTTAATGTCAATATGATAGGGCTGTAGGAAGTCTAATAGATATTGATGAATTAACAAAATTTCTTGTAGGTACTGGTACAAGTAATTTGAGTTTGAGAAATGTTGGAGAATATGCACATGGAGTTTGCATTGGATAGGAAATTTGCTGTTTCTTAGAAATGGTAGTGGCTATTACCATTATGTTGAATTTTCACTCTTCTTCTAATGGAAGATGCAGCAGAGAAATATCCTTTTTGGGTTGGAGATTTTAATCATTCAAAAGCTACTTGATACGACTAACGGTTTCCTTAGGATTAATCTGGCCTCCTTCTTCCTCCAATGATTGAAAATGAGTCTGTGAGCATGGTGATGGCCAACCTGAAATGTAATATGGTTGGATATGCTGAATCAAATGTAAATTTTGTAAGAAAGCACAACAACTCGCTTCCAAACCCTTATATAACCTAGCTCTTTTTCAAGGTTACCTAGATCCTAAGTTTCCTATAAGTGCCATCAAGGTGACCACCTGTATCGACATGTATCATGATGGTGGCCACGTGTATAGACATGTGTCATTATGGTGATAACATTTTAAGAATGTAATGTTGTGAGAGTGATTATTGTAGGCTTAGTCCTCATTATATCGTATTCAAGTTTCTGAGGACTTATTTATCTTTGTTTTTTTAACAAAATGAAATTCTTGTACAGTAAGTAAATCTTTTATAACTAAGATAAATATATGGGAGGTATTGGAGGTCAGTGTTACCTAAAATCACCCTCTCTCATTTTTTTCTCTCTCAATATCTCTTCCTTCATTTCCTCTCTCACTGAGCACTTGATCTCTTCTTCTATTTTCTTCCTTATTCTTCCCCTTTCATATTTACTTGTTGTATTTTAACTGGGTATCAGAACTGGAAGCTTGGTGACGTTTTTTTGAAACACTAAAGATGTGATTGGCCATGCTAAGGTCTCTTAAAGCTATATGGCTAGAAACCCTAGATCTGGAGAAGAAAAGGGGGTATGAAACCCTAGATCTAAGAAGTGGTACGAAATAAGAAAGGGGAAAAAATCTAGTTTCATGGTCATCTCCTTGAGTTTTTTATGCGGGATCAGAATCCCTAGATCTCGGTATTATGGTTCTATGATGTTAAAGTTTGTTGTCATACCACTTTTATCAATCAAATCATTGTTTAGAGTTGTGAAACTCAGGCTTTTTGGAGATCTCTTCTATGGATGATCTTGGGTCCTTGTTCAAAATCTTTTTGAGTGGCTGGTTGTGTCTATCAGCATGTCCTTCGTGTTTTTCAGGCTATCTTGTGGCTAATGTGTCTAGTTTGAGTGATTCAGGTCGCTCTTCCACCTTCACTAGTGGTCCTGATATTACCTCCTATATGAGCATTTACGGAGATAATCCTGGACTGTAGATTACTATTGGCAAACCTAGTAGTAAAAACTATTTAGAGTGGTCATAGTCGGCTAAAATGTTCATCAGTGAAAGGGGAAAGTTAGGGTATATCAATGGTAGGATTGTTGAAACCGAGGAAATTGATCCAACACATGAAAAGTGGGAAATAGAAAATCGTATTGTTAAGTCTTGATTATTACACTCCATGCAACCATCGATTAGTAGGAGTTCTTTGTTTCTTCGAACTGCAAAAGAGATTTAGGACTCTGTATATCACACTTATCTTCAAAGCAAGAATGTGGCTCAAGTGTATCAACTGAGGCAGGAAATTTGCCATCTTCAACAAGAATGAAGTCTCCCATTGAATATTTTTCTTTATTTCATAATGTATGAGAGGAGCTAGACTACTAGTAGATATTTATGCTGGGTTGGTGACCTTTAAAAGGCCGTAAGAGCATGTGAATATAATTTATAGTAAATTATGCACTTCAATGGGAGTGTGTATTTTGGTTGATTAACCTAGGGTTTGACGGTCTATAGCCTTAGTCATGCTCAAAATCCTTACTCCTAGACATATGGTACTACCTAAAAGGTTTTATAGAAGGTCATCCCTTGTTTGTAGATCAGAAGAGCTGTATGGTTTTCTGTGTGCGGATGTAGGAGTGTGAGAGCAAGGGCTAAATTCTCAATAAACTTTTGTGCAATATGTACACATGACAGCCGCATTACTAATAAGCAACCTTGAAAATGGGTACTTGTATAGGTGCATACTTGTATAGGTTCATAGATAGAGTCCCCCTTGCATTGGTAGCTATATGTACTTGACTTGCTCTTAAGGGGAAAACCTATAATCCATATTCCGAGACCATAGTTTCACTATTTATTGGGTAGTTTTGTCGAGCTAATCATGAGCCCCTGCATGAGACTGTGGATCATGAATCTCATTGGGTTAGTTTGAGAAGATAGTCAACGATTAGGTTTACTGGTTCAGGTGGAATACGCTGACAGTCACTTATCTTAATCAACTTCTAGATATTTTATTTTAGTGTTAGAATGTTTATGTAAATTTTGACAAAGTTTCAAAATTTTTAAAATTAATTTCATATTAAAGGAGGAGTGGAGTATTACATATGGGGGCCCATGAATCAAGCTTGCATGTGTGTCAACACCCACAGGGGTGGGCGTGGAGCCCATGGGGCCCACACCTCACTCATGGGGGTGCGCATCCCCTCCTCTCTTTATTGTAGTGTTGTTTTAGTAAAAATAAATGGGTGTTTTAAGTTAGTTAAGGAAATCTATCTAGAACAAAGATTATGTCATTATTTTGTGGGACTTAATTACTTGAAATATTCTTTGACCAAATCTTTAACTTTTTACTTCCTACAATTTTAAAAGAGGTAAAGAAAGTTCTAGAAGGTTCTTTTATATTGGTCTTATCCTAGTTTGCCTAAAGGTGGATATGGGTCAAAGATTTAGGAGATAATGTTCCTGATATTCCTCTTTAAATCATGATGGCTTATTCAAGGAATGGTGACTCAGATTTAATTCTCTCACCTCACATATTTCCTAAAATCCTATTTGGTCATGGTGAGTCATAATTGGAAAGACGCAACTAGGGCTCCTT